GTTGTGAGGGGCCCAGAACTGACCCCAGGATTCCAGGTGCTCACCCTGCCCTGCTCCTGCTGGCCACCCCAGTGCTGGTACCAGCCAGGAAGGAGGCTGGTGGCTTTCTGCTACAAGGCAGGATGCAGCCCAGCCTGCAGGAGCTCGCTCCCTTTCTGAATGCTCCTCCAGACTCCCCCAGCACACACCATTTTCCTCTTGTTACAGAATTCCTGTGGCTGAGCTTATCTGGGTGGCACAGAAGGCACAGAATGGCCCTTCATCCACCAGGTTCTGCCTGGAGCACACTGGGGCTGTGCACTGTAATGTAGGGCTGACATGAAACATTGGTCCTGGGGAAAAGTCCCAGATCAGTAGTTTATGAACTCAAAGCCCATCTGATTCCAGGAGCAGCTGCAGAGTCTCCTGGGAGCACCCACAGAGCTGCCCAGGGCCAACTGGGCTGTGGTGGGCACAGCTTGAAGCCCAGCTGCTCTGCAGGGACCCTGAGAGGTTTCTGGGGCACATCCTCTGTTGGGACAGTGGAGTGTGGGCAGGGACATGCACTAGGGGTGAGCACAGAGCAGAGGTGTTACTTCATGACCTCTTCTCTCTGGTGACCAATGACAGGACCCAAGGGAAAGGTGGGAAGATGTGCAGGGGGAGGTTTAGGTTGGACATTAGCAAGAGATTCTTCACCCAGAGCAGTTGGAGCACTGGAATGGGCTCCCCAGGGAAGCAGGCATGGCACTGAGCCTGACAATATGCAAGAAACACTTGGACAGCACCCTCAGGGACACAGTGTCAACTTTGGGCTAGTCCTGTTCTGGGGCAGGAGTTGGACTTGGTGATCCAGGCTGAGGAGGTGGTTGAGCCACCATCCCTGGAGACACCTAAAAGACAGATGTGGTGCCAGGGGACAGGGTTTAGTGGAGGATGCAGCAGAGTTGGGGTAGTGGTTGGACTTGATCTTGAAGGTCTTTTCCAACCGGAGTGATCCTGTGACACTGTGATAGTGCAGAGGTTACCCAGGGCCTCCCCAACCAAGAAATGTGTGAACCACAGACATAGAATCATAGAACACACTTGTTTGGGTTAAAAGAGACCTAAAAGATCATGTAGTCCCAACCCCCTGCATGGGCAGGGACACCTCCATCCTGCCCTTCGACACTTCTAGCTTCCCTGGGCAACCTGGGCCAGGGTCTCACCACCCTCAGGGAAGAATTTCTTCCTAAGATCTCATCTCCCTTAAAAAAACTCTTTCCTTCATTCACCTCATCAGAGAAGCAAGCCAGGGTCAGGTCCCTGCAGAGAGCAGCAGAAGAGCTCAGCAGGTAGGACACAGAAGTATCTGAGAAGGGTGCCAGGAGTGAAACCAGTGCTCTGCAGGCTTGGCAGCTGCCAGCCAGCCACAGATGTTGGAAATCAGGGGTAGGGAGACTGAAGGAACTGGTGAGAACTCATTCCCAGCAGGAAATTTGAATCAAGGGGGAATCAGGAAGCTACAGACTGGATTGGATCAGATTCACTTTCCCTTTCAGATGCCTCTTGAGATAACATCCTCCGGCTCCAGGTGATGTTTCTGCTGGGGACAGCTACTGAGGTCCATCAGAAACTGCAGTGGAGAATTCCTGGTGCTCTCCATAGAGGCTGGACACACCTCAACAAGCCCAGGTTTTCATTCAGGACACTCCCTGAGGTGTCTGAGCCTCAGCATTGGCCACAGTTTGGTTCTGTATCATAGAATAATGGAACCGTTTGTGTTGGAAGGTTCCTAGAAGAGTATCTAGTTCCCCCTGCATGGGCAGGGACACCTCCCACCAGACCAGGTTGCTCAGACCCCCATCCAACCTGCCCTTGTCTCCCTGCTCACAGTGCATTCCAAGAGCACTGGTTCAGAGCAGCATCATTGATTTCTTCTAATTATAAACCCTCTAGAAAGTTTTCAGCTTGCAACAGTCCCAGTTTCCCTCCCAGTGGAGCCAAGACAAGCTGGGAGTTGCTCCCTGGTTGCCCTCATTCCAACAGTAAAAAAGCCAGAGTGATTGAAAATTGAATGAGGGAAACTGGCAGATTGCAGGAGAGGGGTAAGAGAAGAAATGACCTGGGAGTCTTGTCTCTGGCTTCATGGAGCTGGAGCTCATGCTGGACAATCTCCTGTGCCAAGATGTATCTGATGGAGGACACAGCTCCTGCATGGAAGCACCAGAGCCTGGAGCAAAGCAGGAGCAATGACCATGTGCTTGTCAACAGGCCAAACACCCAGTGCCTGAGCCAACAAGGGTAACTTTGGACCCCATCTGAGATGTTTCCTCTTCCTAAAGGGCAAAATGACAGTGGAGCAATAAAAAAATACTAATAAACAATTCCCTATGTTAGCATAAAGCTTAAAAGCAAGAGTTGGAGATGCAGCACGAGATGAACATTTGTCAAGAGAGCAATTATTTTCTGCTAGATAAATGAACTGGTACAGGGGGAGCCCAAAGCCCACAGGTCATTGCTGCTTCCATGTTAGGAGGAGCTGGAAGCCATGAGTGTGTTGTGAGCCAGGGGGCTGGCAGCAAAGCACCAGGTAGCACCACAGCAGGCTCTGGTGGAAATGCTGGTACAGAGGGAGCAGCAAAGGCTGCCAAGAGTGAGAGGGAAGGAGCAGCAAATGTCACCAGAGGTGACGATGAAGTGAGTTTTCCACCTGCTCCAGGTATGAGGGAGCAAGGGGCTGATCCTGAGATATTGATTGTTCTTCCAACACAGTCATCTTGGGACATGGTGAGGCAGATCCTGGAGCACTCAGTTGGCTTTTCCTCTACACTAGGACAGGATCCATGCACCATATTGAAGGTCCTCAGCTTCCCTGCCCATGAGAAGTCTATGAGCACTTCCAGGCTTAGGGAAGCTGACACACTCCTGCAGATCCTTTAAAAAGGATGCAAATAAAGAGCAGCTCTGGGCTGTGAAGCACAGGCAGGGATGAGCATCCATCTGGTGATGGGTGAACCCAGGCTTTGGACAGTTTCTAGGAAGGTTGTTCCCTGAAGGTTGGGGGAACAAACCTGTAAGCTACAGCAACTGTCCCTGAGCCAAGAGCAGGAAGAAAACTCCAACACAGGTTGGGCATCATGCCCTGCTGAGGTGGGATGTGGCAACCTGCAGATGGGTTGCTGCTGGTGAGATGGACCGACCACTAGGAGGGAATTCTGGCCTTGGCATGTGGGTGGACTCAGGAAGATGCTGGGACTCAAGCTCAGCTTTGAGTTTCCCCAAGACAAAGACCTCAAATGCAGGGTTAGGGCATAGGCGAGAAATCGTTGCTCAAACCTCCCATGGCAGGGACTTTCCCAGGAGGGTTGCAAACCCTGGGCCAGCCCAGGGCCCTCTGCACAGCCCCACTAATCCCACCTCTGGACACGCTGCACGGAAACCATATAAATTAACCCCATTTCCACACCTCCAGTTGCCAAGAGAAACCCTTTTTACAGTCGTGCTGCTGCTGCAGTTCCCAGCTGCTCTGCTTTGCTGGCTCTTTGAACACTCCAGAAAGCAGAATATGGGTGGTGAGGTTTCCTGGTGCACTCAAAGCAGGCTGGAAATTGGTGCCTAAATCCTGAGGGGATTTGCAATCCAGCTGTGAGCTGTGCAACAGGGACCTGCTGGTGACTGTTGTGCACTCACTGGTTCTAGCTGGGTGGCCTGAGCACTGAATCCCTGAGGAGCAGGGACAGTAGCAAAACCACCAAACCCACCAGACTTGCTTGTCATAGAATCTATGTGTGGGCAGCAACAGGGACTTGGGCTTTTGCCCCTGCTCTCCACTGCCCTGCAGATTTTATGCTCTGGGTTTTTTTGATTGTTGCAGGAAACAAAGGGAATTTCAGAAGTCAGTGCTGCTGATTGTAGATGGATAAATATATATGTGTGCACATCTCCCTGTGCAGGGTGCATAGATATTGCAGGGTCTGGGTTTCTTAAAAGTGCACTTTTATTTCTTAGTTAACCACTTGGAGGATTAATGACCTTTGTCTCTGTGTGATGAGCTGTGCAGGGGTGCTCAGGGAAGGCAGCCCCAGGCAAGGCACCAGCAGCTCCAGGCTGGTCAGGTTTGTCCTGTCCTGACCAGGCTGGGGGGGGAAGGAGCAGGGATTTCTTGCTGCACCTTGTCTGAAGGAGCAGGTCTCCAAGGCCTGGGCTGCAGGAGCAGGCACGGGCTGGCATTGCCTCCCCTGCACTGCAGTGTTAGGCCAGAGGTGTTTGGTCCTGCTGAGATGTCTCCAAGGTTTAGCAGCAGGTGTCCAGGTCCTGGTGCTCACTGCTGGCTGTGTTGGGGTGTGAGGCTGGAGGGTTCAAGGTGCTGTTCAGAGGATGAGCATCTGCAGACTCAGGTGTCTTGGGGTGGTTCCATACTCCTTTACTGACTGCACCAACAGCTCAGAGGGACTCGTCTTCTCCCCTGTGAATCAACTGTGTCGATAGCCTCTCTTCTTACCTTTAGCAGATAATGATACCACGAAGTTCCTCTACTGAAAAATGTTAATTTCTACATATTCTGCAGGAATCATCTGTTCTTAACCTCTGGTGTGTGTAAGAACAATGCTTACCTACTGGATCTACAGCAGAAGTCAGCCAAGAGGGAAATGTTCCCTGCTCGTGCTCACCACGCAGGCACAGCTGGAGGAAAAGGGGCAGAGAGAAGGTTGTGGCTCATGACAAGGTGTAAGAGCCACCAGGGGAATCTTTCCAGGTTTTATCTGTGTTGGGATGACCAGGGTTGATACCTGATTGCTGCATCTCCAGCCTGGAAGGCTGTTCCTGGCCCAGGGCTGTGCTGCTCTGCTGCTCTCCTGGCACCCAGAGCTCAAGCAGCGTCCGTTTGCAACATCCACACTGCTAAGGGTGGAAAAAACCACTGAGGTTGGAAAAATAACACCACGGGTGGAGAACTGTGCCATGCCCCTGTGCCTCTCGTCCTCCTGGCACCACATCTGTGCCCAGTGGCTGAGCTTAATCCCATCCTCTTCCCACAGTTTGACATGCAGAGGATAACACTGGAGGAGCTGAAGCACATCCTGTACCACGCCTTCCGGGACCACCTCACCATGAAGGACATTGAGAACATCATCATCAACGAAGAGGAGAGTTTAAATGAAAACTCTGGCAACTGCCAAACGGAGTTTGAAGGTGAGAGAGAAAGTCTCTGTGTTTCTGTAAAATTATTCCCTTTCTGCATTATCTGTAACTGACCCGTGACCCGCGGGGATGCAGGGAGTTATTTTAGAGTAAGTGGTAATGACACACTTGGGGAGCTAAGAGCTACTGTCAGCCTTCTCCTCTGTGGTCTGATCCTGTTTCAGGCAGGAGGATGAGCTGGTAGCTGTTTTGCTTTATGGCCTTCCTTTCTCTGGTGGGATTCAGGCCAAGGGACGAGCAGCCTGTGCTGCATCACAGACCATCACCACCATCTACCACCAACTGTATTTCCCTAGAGAAAGATGCAATTATCATGGAAATGCTTCACTGGGGGTTGGGCTTTTCTGTTGTCTTTCCATCAGGAGAAAAGCTCTCCTGCTGTGGGCTCCCAGGGAGGAGCTGGCAGAGTCCTCCTGCACAGGGTGCTGCCTGCACCTCTGGCTGGAGCTGCAGTGAGCAGGGGCAGCCAGGACAGCTCATGCCAGCACTGAGTGTCTGCAAGGTCAAGGCCCAGCAGTCCTCAGAGACAGCAGAGAAAGGGACACATCTGCTCTGGCAGCTGTTGGTTAGCATGGTGTCCTCTCAGCAGTGCCACAAGACCAAGTGGTGAGAGCCTGGGACCAGGCAGAGCCTCCACCTTCACAGGGGATTTTGCACTTCCAGCAGAACTGACACTGGCAAGAACACCCCCCGTTTTGAAGCCACCTTGGGAGAAGGATTTTCTTGGCCAGAGGAACTTGTGCTGCTCTGAAGCATTGCTGGTTGGAACACCTGAACAGATATAAACCACCACAAGTGCAGAAAAGTCCTAGAGAGAACTTCAGGAGTTGTGCATGTCACCCTGGGACAGCTTCCCCCCCACTTTCTGTAGGACATTTGGGGGGAAATCCTGGTACTCAGGGGGTCAAACAGCCTGTGAAAGGACACCAGTCTGAGACAATGAAGGATCTTTAAAACGAAGCAAGGGATAAACATCCTGCTGCAATCCCTAGCCTGGCTAATTAATGGGATTCAGCAGCTCCATCCAGCACATTCACCCTCTGCCACCTCCTGCAGAGAAGATGTAGAATGTTAAGAAGCTGCAGGAGGGAGGGAAGCAGCAGCACTTTTTGAATCAAGTCAAGCAACATATTATTTTATGATTTATTTATTTTTTTTGCTCCTCCTGGAAATCAGCAGGGAGGAGAAGGTGCTTCCTGACAGGAGCAGAGTTGTTATTCCCCATTGACCTGCTGATTCAGTGGGGACATGAGGCAGCTGCCACCGTGGGGAGAGGCACCCAAGCTTCTTTCAGCTTTGTGACTTGGGTGAACTATCCCAGTCACACACACACACACACACAGCAAAATATGGGTCCAAAATCTCAGCATCTTGTTTTGGAAGTCCCAGCTTCCAAAAGTACAACAAGAACAGCTTTTCTCGTGGGCTGTTGGCATTGCTGGTGAGAGGCAGAACCCAGAAGCAAAACAGACCCTTTTTTAGATGTTGTTAGAAATACACAGACACACAGATCCAGCAGGGAATAAAGATCTGTCAACAAAGATGCAAAGTTTTCCTTCAGGTCCCAGAAGAAAGAGCTGGTTCTGGTCCATGGCAGCTCTGACATGAGCTTTTCTCCCAGGAACAGCAGGTTGGGAACAGGTTGAGTCCCTGAAGCTCCCCAGGCTGGACATGCCAATACCTGAATGACCCACTTGTGCCCTCAGCATTCCCATTTCCCAAACACTAAGGTTCCTACAGGGCTCAGAAGCAGAAATTATAGGGTCTTATGGTGTGGAGCAAATGGTTCCAAGGGAGAGCTGGCAGGAAGGTTGGACAGCATCTCAGGCAAGTTTTACCAGGCTGGACAGACCTGTCACCGTGTCAGTCAGTCACCCTTTGCTCCTTAATTGGTGGAGTGAAGGAGATGCTTTTTGGGTGTAATTCCTCCATCTTGTTTGGAGAGGGGCCAGAGAAGGGGCAGGAAGATGATCCAAGGGCTGGAGAAGCTCTGCTCTGGAGCCAGGCTGGGAGAGTTGGGGTGTTCAGCCTGGAGAAGAGAAGGCTCCAGGGAGACCTGAGAGCAGCTTCCAGTGCCTGAAGGGGCTCCAGGAAAGCTGGGGAGGGGCTTTTCATCAGAGAAGACAGTGACAGGACAAGGGGTGATGGTTTTAAACCGAGAGAGGGGAGACTGAGGTGAGATCTTAGGAAGAAATTCTTCACTCTCAGGGTGGTGAGGAGCTGGGATGGGTTGCCCAGGGAGGTTGTTGGTGCCCCATCCCTGGAGGTTTTTAAGGCCAGGCTGGATGAGGGTTTGTGCAACCTGGTCTGGTGGTTCCCTGCTCATGGCAGGGGGGTTGGAGCTGGATGATCTTTAAGGTCCCTTCAACCTTAATGATTCTATGATCTTATTTTAGGTGCTACCTTGGGATGAGATGATTTTCACCTTAGAAACCACCTGTATCTTTCAGCTGTAGAGGCAGCCTGAAGGGACTCAGAGGCTCACATCTATGGTTAATGGACATTTCATCCACTCCATGGAAGTGCCTTTAATGATGGGTGGGAATGAAGCCAAGATGAGTCTCAGTGGTTTTCACTGAGATTTGTGAATGGCTCCTCAGGGGAAAAAACACAGCAGGTACTTTCAGTAGTACCTGGCTGAAATGGGGGAGGTCCACTCACTAGCACCTTGGAGTATGTTCCTGCAGTCCAAGAGAAGCCCTGAGACACTTCTCCAACCTTGGGACACTCACTCCCTGCTCCACACCCAGTGTTACCTGGCTCAGCACCCCCCAGGGTGCTAAACAGCCTTGTGCAGGTAACATCCTCAGTGCTACAAATAAGCCCAAATGTTGGTCATTCTCACTATTTTGCCATCTTGGCTTCTTAGTACAATAAGACCTTTACAACTCTGCAATATTCCTCCTGCATCAAGATCATTTTCTCTCTCCCTCCCACACACAGACACACACACTTGGAGCCAATTCCAACATCCATACTCTGGTCAGGGACAAGTCCAGGTTTCTGTTCAGTTCACTCTGAACATAAGAGTCATTTGCAAGACATCAGCTCTAGGCCTGCATGACAACCTTCCCTCCTACACATTTCTAAGGGGTTTAATTGGCCTTTTTCTTGATGAAGGGCAAAGCAATGAAAACGCCCAGCTCTTCAGGACAAGCAGCCCACACCACCTATACAGAACACGACCAGAAGGCAGGCAGGGTTATGTTTTCAGCCTTCTTCTCAATTATTGTTACTGCTTGGGGCAGGAGAATAAAGTTGAGGGCCCAGAAGAGTGAAGGTTTTATCAACAGACACAAGAAAAGGACATCATTGTACTGCTGAACATTGCAGCAGGATTGAACTACTGAAAATTTATGGTCCAAAATTCATTTCTCTGGCAGTTCCCATTATCCAAACACTCCCAACATGAAGCTGGAGGCAAACCAGAGTGCCAGCTGGTTGCAGTGACCCGTGCTGTCTGCTCCAGGTATTTCATCCTCAGCCCTGACGCTCACATGAACTGGACATACCAGAGCTGCTGCAATTCCCCTCCCTGCTCCCCCTGGATGAGCACTGAGAGCATCTACTCCTCAGCAAAGGGCTTGGGAATGACAAACTGGCCTCTTAAAACACAGATAATTCCAGGCAGCCAGAGAAAGCAACTATCACTCACCCTTGGCAGGGTTATGACAGAAGCCACTATAAATAGACTGTAGCTGATTGTGTCAGGGAGCCTTTTTCTGCAGGCAAAAAGGTTCTCAGTGCTTACCTTGACCATCTCAAACCTCTATGGGCATCTGGACCAGCCCAGCAGCCACAGCCAGTGGACTGATGCACCCTGAAAGGGGGTGGACCCATTAACCCCATGTGCTGGTGGAGAAGTTGTAGGGGTGGCAGCTCTGTCTCTGCCACTAGTGACCCCGTGGTGAGTCCTCCTCACCAGCCTGTCCTCTGCACATTGAGAAGATGAAGCATGACCCAGCCTCAATTTGCCTTTGCTCTTGAGATCTCATTCAGTTTGGACAGCTTGTGAGCTTCTGTCCCCTCTAAGAAGGGGCCAGGACATGTCCAGAGGAGCTTCAGGCTCTGACCAAGCCCAAGGAACCAGCTCATGTCCAAGCCCTGGCACATCCCGTGGGCATTAAAACCTCCTGCTGGTGACCAAGTGCAAACAGGTTGAGCATCCAGCCCTGTGACAGTGTCAGCTATGGAAAACAGCAGGAAAAAGCAGGGATGCCAAGCTCAAAGGATCTCTGGATTAAGAGAAAAGAGAGAAATTAGGGTAAAAATTCACCAGTGAGTGGGGAGATGGGGGAGGGACACACAGATGGGTCTTCATACTTAAGGGGGCAATTGTGCAGCACAGAGTTGTGTTCACAGTGAGGTGACTCCAGCTTCTTTCTCTTCCTCTGGACTGTAAAGGGGCAGAGGAACTGTAATACTGGTCTTCTTGCTGGACTCATTCCT